TAAATAAACAGAGTGGTGTTTAGTAGGGCTGTCAAAATGACTGAAAAACTAAATTCGAATTTTCCACTTAAATATTATCAAAATTCGAATTATATTCAAATTTAATAGGCATAATTTCAGTTAGGGGGAAAAAAGCTTTTGGCTTCTCTCCTGAGGCCACGAGAGGGCGCATCGAGCAAAATATTATGCACTCACTCTACGCTGGTTGCTATTTGATCGCGTCACGTCATTGTGCAATACAGTTTATTCGGTCTTTTCGCTTATTTCGCCGAATAATTTCAGTTACCGAACATTCGGTGCATCCCTAATTTTTGATTCCCTTTCTTTCTCTTTTGTGGTTTGCTTTAGAAGCCTGAAATTAATTTCATGTGTTTTTAAAACCAACCTTGGTGTCTACCAACGAGTCGATTCAGGGGGAACATACAAAATGTGCAGAGTTAGGAGTGATCTAGTACCGCTGACCTAAACCGGCTAATCCTTTGTGTTTAATGTTATTTCTACACACTGACAGGGCGTCGACACTTTAAATCAAGAATGAATGTCCTTGGAAAATTGCTTTGATGTATCAATAGGAAGAAGCATTTTCTTTGTACACTAGGTGCTTCAGATAGCTTTTTAAGGTCAAAAAAGAGCACAAAATGTTAATGTGGCATGACTTAAGTTATTTTAGTAGTGTCTCTAATATAACTCTGTTATGATTCATTTTTGTCAGTTAATTTATTTTGATCTGTTTCAGTGAATCTGTTCGAAATACTCAAAGAGATTCTTTTGCATTACCACAAAAAAAAAGTTAATAGATGTCTTTGTGGCATTTAACATTTTTATATGGTTTTTATATGATTTTTACATGTTTCAGTAAAGATGTATAGAACTAAATATTACTGTTAATTGCTATGGATTGTTATATTGGTGCATTTAAATAAAATTATTCCTTGTTAATTTTATGAAGAATGGTGTGGAAAGCATGCCTTGATTGTTTTTAACTACATTTTACTGTTTTACATTTTGAAGTGAATTGGCAGCAGTGGCTGTGTGATCAATGGTGGTTCCTTTTAATTTTATTTA